AGTATGCTGTGATCAGGTACAGTGAACGATGTTTTGTGAAGGTCTCCATAAGAGACCTGCCAAAGGCATGTAGGGAAGTTGTCAGAACCGCACACATAATCAATGCGGTCCGGCAAACGCGTGCCGCTTTTTTGGTCCAGTGCTCCTCCAGCCGATGCCACGTTAATGGGGGGTATCGTATGCGTCGTTTTGCGTCCTGACATACGCCCACTTCTCTGTATGCTTCAGCTCAGTCTGCGAGTGGAATACTTTAATCATTTTCATTACAGCTCTTCCTTATAATCTGTTGAATGCGATGTACAGTGCGTGACCTATCTCATGAAATGCTGACTGAAATTCTGAAATGCGTTTTCGATTAGGAAGGATTACTTGGTCGCGGTTGTAATACTGACTACCCTGCGGCATACTTTTATCACATTTCGGACTCGGCTGGATGTCGGGTTTTAAATGCATTTCTTTTCAATCTCCTGTAGAAAGCGAGCTCGGTAAAAAATGACTACTTGAGTAGCATGCATTTTTCCCATTTATTTTCGATGGTCTTGGAAATTCAAATATATTTTATAGAAACCACAAACAAAAATATGCTTTCCTTTAGTCAATCAATAGCGAATCACGTCTTCTTTATATTTTATACTTAAGGAAGGAGTATAATTAGGTTTTAAAAAAGTTTTCTAATTGCCGAATAATTTGGAGCCTGATCATCCGTTGCATTAGCGCTTAGTGATTACACTCTACGAGGTGCATGCGTTCCGCGTAAAGAAAATCCCATATTTTTCTATGTCATTAAATAGATATCATACAGGGTCCATAAAATTTTGCAATGGATGCGGACCATGTTGTATATTTCATGAGGAGCAGTGGTAAACGGCCAGGTACGATGCTATGTGAATGGACATATCGTGGTCTCAAAAAGTCTCATTATTAGAAACTTTTTTAAAACCAAATTATTCTCCTTCCTTAAGTATAAAATATAAAGAAGACGTGATTCTCTATTGATTGACTAAAAGAAAGCATATTTTTGTTTGTGGTTTCTATAAAATATATTTGAATTTGCAAGACTATCGAAAATCGATGGGAAAAATGCATGCTACTCAAGTAGTCATTTTTTACCGAGCACGCTTTCTACAGGAGATGGAAAAGAAGTGCATTTAAAAGCCGACATCCTGCCAAGTCCGAAATGTGATAAAAGTATGCCGCAGGGTAGTCAGTATCACAACCGCGACCAAGTAATCCTTCCTAATCGAAAACGCATTTCAGAATTTCAGTCAGCATTTCATGAGATAGGTCACGCACTGTAAATAAGTCGACAGCGTTTTAGGTAGTTGGTGGAGCTTTGCCCTAAGATTTGTGAGCGTCTGCTAAGCTATGATCCAGCAAACCGTGACTCTCTCAGCCTAGTGTGCACCGGCAGTTCTCTGGTACCTGGCTCCCTGCCGGTAGATGCGCTTGTGCACTCGCTGGGTGTGCAGGTTGTGCTCATGGTTGCCCAGTGATTTGTGTCATCCGTTATTGTTGTAGGTTAAAATCCTGGTTGAGTGTTTGTTGTGGACCTGAGAGGTGTGGTGGCACGCCTAGATGCGGGTTCGGCTGCGCCAGCCACCTCCGCCGTCTACCGCCGCCGGTCTTCTTTACTATGTATTTGACACCGGGTCCATGTGAGGAGCAGGAAGTGTGCGGTAGATGCTGTGCAAGTATACCCAGACTATAAACTAATTCACGTGCAATTCACCACGCCTGCTACACCTTGCTGTGGAGCAGTCAGTGGACATCGTCGGTTGCGACGATCGAACTGTCAGGTGAATCTGGAAGTCAGACTCAATAGGCCAAGTTCCAGTTGACGTAAGGCATCAGCATGAGGGGTTACTGGCCCTGACGACAGTGGCCACTGGAGAAGTAATGAAAAAGGGTGTCTACGATGTCAGTCGATTTTAACAGTTCATCGGAGGTGGCTTGTGCCAAATGGTGTATTTTCCATTATCCAAGGAATGGCTTGTGCAAGCTGGACGTGTACGGCCGTGGCCGTCTCGCCACGCGTGGGTACGACCTGGAGTCAGTCGAGTGGCTGTGGATCAGCGTATCCGGAACAGAGTAAACTGGTTTTACATCGGAAGCATTTTTGAAGGCGGTGAATGATACTGAGTCGTCCAGGCCCAGAAACAAGGTGGGCAGTCTAATTATGACGGTCGGCCAAATGTCCGTCTCTGGGAAGACGAATACAACCACGTGAGTTTTCGTGAGTTACAGGGTCTTTGCTGGATCCTAAGTCCAGGTGCACAGGGTGTGGTGGGGGGGGAAGGCATCTGGGCACAGATTTCGATCGGTCGACTGCCTGCTCCCCAAGAAACGGCTTCCGAAAAGGCGGCTTTGCGGCTGCTTCTGTGAATAACCAGTCTTATTATACCGCAGAGGGCGTGATTCGTCCATCCGAAAGTTGTTTGTAGAAAAAAGAAATAACAGGTCTCATCGGTGGAATACCGAAGTATTTTTAAGAAACCTAGACACCAAATTTCGCCTGCCTGACACGTACAGTGTGGAGCACAATCAACATGATGACTGCGGTATATGCTGAGGGGGTTAGGTGTCGCCTCCAAAGGTTTGGCATCCTTAAGCTTCCGTAAACCCATGGGTTGTCCTTTTGGTCAATCCTTTCAGTGTCTTTGTTAGGCTCATGTGGCATCTATGCAATGAGAGTCTGTCCAGCACGCCACAATAACCACGACCCAGTCTCGCTTTAGAGAAGAGGCAAGAGGCCACTAAGAGTAGTATATTCTGAATAACTGACGTGGTGTGCATCCCGAGGTGATATAAAATGAAAAAGGAGAGGGTTCTTTGTAAAATCGAGTTGTACTCGTGAATTTTCAAGTTGGTGACACCAACTCGTCGTCAGACGAAATAAGGAGAGGAGAAAGAGCAATCGGCAGACTAGATGGGTTGGTGCGACAGGATAGTCAACGACAGACAGGCAGCTGATGTGTGAGAGGGGTGTGCACCGAGTTATGATAAACTTTGGGGCTGGGGAGGGGAGAACCGTTAGGGCTGCCTGTGCTGGAGGTGGAGGAGGAGCGGGGGAATCGCGGATCAGTGGAAATACGGGCGGCAGGCCATTGATGCGGGATGAGATCAGGGAGTAGTGCGCCGGCGTTGGAGGTGTTAGAAGTTTCGATTGTTGTTCATCGTGTCGCAGGGGGGGGGGGAGATTGGCGAGACAGCGTGCATCCACGTGGCCGAGTAGGGATTAGCAGCTGTTAGGGCGTGGGAACAAGTCAGTCGGCGTGTACGTAAACTCTCGGAGTGAGCGTCTAGATCGAGGTGGCGGTTGATGCTGGTCGTGTCAGAGTGCCAAGCTTCGAGGAATTCTCGCGCCTGTCTGGTGTTAGTCATTGTGATCGCTTCAGTACCGCCCCAATTGAAGCGGTCCTACTCAAGGGCGTGCGCAACCATGAGAGACAGAGGCGGAGGGCTAACTTATGCTCGCTAATACGAGTCCCAAGACATCGACCTGTATCTCCATTATAAACACAAGGGCAGTTGTCGCACGGAATGCGGTAGATGATATTAATTAGCTGTTTTTTGGGCACCGGGTTCTTTACTCGGCATAATTTTTCCCGTGGGGAAGATGCTGGCTTGTGGTGATGGAAAAGTCAAAGCGCTTTAATTGTCGGGAGATTGTTTCAGAAATGTACGCCAGTGAATAGACTTTCCGTGGCACTTTATCTCCATTAGAATCGAGTCTTGGGGGCTGTATCTGGCGTCTGAGACAATTTTTTGTAAAGCTGGCCGGATATCCATTAGACCAGAATAACCGATGTAAGTAGGCCAGTAAGTACGCCACCACTGTTGCAGATACAGAAGGCCAGATGGAAAAGAGTGACTGGTGGCAGGCAGAGAACCAGACGCGGGGCCGGCTTCAGGTCCGCACACGTCCGTGCGTTAGTGTGACGTGGGCGTGGATGGTTTGAGAGTCATGTGAATCAGTCAGTCAGTCAATGTCAGACTGGTCAGTTGATTGGGCTGTAGGGGTGTCCAGCTGTGGGTCGTAGTAGGTCGCTCGCTTGCTTGCAAGTGTAGACCACGCCTAACGTCCATTTGCTGGCACCCAAATCTCACATGTGGCCCCCTGAGGCTAGGCTCCGCCTAGCGGCCACACCCAGAAGCTAGGCTTTGCCCAGCGGCCGCGCCCCGGTAACAGCCTCGACCGCCTGGCTAAACCAGGTGAGGGTATCCGTGTGTGCATCTCCGCACACGGTAATCTCAGCTCCGAAGGCCGGCATTGACAGCTCCGTGATGAGGCTCCATCTGGAACACCGCATGAGGCCATAAAGTAAGTGAGCACCCAGGTACGTGAACGTTGCTCTGCTGCCTTTGCTTTTGCTTGTTCTTGTCTGCTTGCATGTGTTCGTCCTTCCTGAAAACTAAATGCCGTTCTGTCGAATTTCCTGTGCTGCCTTTGCTTCTTGCTATTCTTGCTTGCATGTTTTTGTCTGTTTGTTGGTCTGTTCTTATTGTAAGCTAAATGTCGTTCTGTTGAATGTGTCTGCTCACCGTTTATATTTCAGCAGCCAGTTAGCTTAGAAAGGGACGGAAAGGCTCTGCATCCCGTCTCTCTACCCTCCCCCCTTCAGCTTATTCGATGCCGTAGGCAGTCCCAGGCCAACTCGGGTCGTTCTTCCACTAAACAAAGACGTGGCCCATAGTGACATAGTTCGGCAGCCGCCTGGGACAACTAAGCAACCCTCTTTGGAAATTGCACTGCTCAGCCCCGCGAGAGGGAAGGGACTAGAAAAGGTGCCCTAAACAAATACTGGGGAACCCCGCCGCCTGAAGGCTGTCCGTGGCCGCAGACGCAAAACTCACCGTCGAAACAACCAAATCAGAAACCGCACTCTCTCTCTCTCTCTCTCTCTCTCTCTCTTCCCCCTCCACCTCCCCGTCGCCCCACTCGCCAGACTGGTGGGATGAGTCCGCGCACTCTGGCAGCCTGCAATGTTTGTTCCCTTTTAGACAAGCTGAGAACCAGCCGACCGAAACGGAGGACGGCGCTAGTGGCTCGGGAACTGCCGCGTTACAAGGTAGACATCGCTGCACTCAGTGAGACCCGGTTCTCCGGACAAGGCCGACTGGAGGAGGTTGGTGTGGTTACATCTTCTTCTGGAGCGATCGCCCCAAGGCGGAGCGACAGGACTCGGGAGTCGCCTTTGCCATCAGGAATGACATCGCGGGACGACTGCCCTGTCTGTCGCTGGGTATCGACGATCGCCTGATGAGCCTCCGCCTGCCTCTCCAGGGAGGCAAATTCGCCACCTTCATCAGTGTCTACGTCCCCCTCCCCCCGATGAATAGCCCCGACGAGGCGAGGAACAAATTTTACGAGGACCTGCACGTCCCCCTGGCGTTTGTGTCGAAGGCGGATAAGTTGACTGTCCTTGGTGACTTCAACGCCCTCGTCGGCACAGACCACGCTTCCTGGAGAGGAGTCCTGGGTCCCTATTGGTCTCGATGACCTCAATGACAATGACCTGCTCCTCCTACGAACCTGCGCAGAACACCGGCTCACCCTGACCAGCACCTACTTCCGTCCCCCGATATGAGAGAAGGCCGTCTAGGTGCACCCTCGGTCATGAAAACGGCACCTTATGGACTATGTCCTCGTCCGGAGGCGAGACCAACGGGACGTGCTGGTGACAAAGGCGATTCCGGATGCTGACGGGTGGAACGAGCATTACCTCGTCATCCGCAAGATCAGGATTCGCCTACAGCCTCGTAGGAGACCTCAGGGTAAGCAACCACCAGGTAAGCGGAATATTTTTCTGTTGTCTTTGCCTGCTACCCATCTCCATTTCAGCAACGAGCTTGCTTAAGGGCCAGCCAACCTTCCAGTCGCCGCCGCTGACAAGAAAACCTCCTTGGAGAACCGATGGTGTCAACTGCGGGACGCAGTCTAGTCGACGGTCCTGGCTGTCCTCGGTCACGCACGACGCCAACACCAGAACTGGTTCGATGACAACGATGCCACCATCAGCAACCTGCTCGCCGCCAAGAATCGACTGCCCAAAACCTACGTAAATCGCCCCACCGACGACAACGACGTGGCCTTCTGCCGTAGTCGCCGCCTTGTGCAACAGCGGCTGCACGAGATGCAGGACGCTTGGACGGCTCGCCAGACCAAAGAGATCCAAGGGTGCGCGGATCGCAACGAATGGAATAGTGTCTTCTCCGTGATCAAGGCTATCTACGGTCCGGCAACTAAAACAACTGTCCCTCTCCTCAGCGTCGACGTAAGTACCCTACTCAGTGAGAAGAAACAAATCCTACGGCGATTGGTAGAGCACTTCCGAGGCGTCTTAAACAGTCGCAACACCATTTCTGACGCCGCAATCTCCCGTCTGCCTCAAGTGGAGACCAACGTCGACCTCGGCCTCCCTCCACGAAACCATCAGGGCCGTACAGCAGCTCTGTAGTGGGAAATCGCCCGGAATGGACGCGATCCCTGCTGAGATCTTCAAGCACGGTGGCCCCCCAACTGATGGCTCACCCTACAGCGCTTTTCCAGGAGATGTGACGTCAAGGACGGATTCCCCATGAGTTCAAGGAAGCCACTATCGTCCATCTTTACAAGCGAAAAGATGATCTCCAGCTCCGCGACAACCACAGGGGCATTTTTCGGCCAAACATCAACGGAAGGATCTTGGTTCGCATTCTCCTCAGTCGCCTGAACCATCATCTGGAACAAGGTCCCTTGCCGGAAGGCCAGTGCGGCTTCCGTCGTCATCGTGGGACCGCGGACATGATCTTCGACGCCCGTCAACTTCAGGAGAAGTTCCAGGAGATGCGGACCAATCTGACGAATGCCTTCGACACGGTGAATCGTGAAGGACTGTGGAAAATCATGCAGAAATTCGGCTGTCTCGACCGATTCACCCAGATGGTGCGTCAGCTCCATGATGGCATGGTAGCGCGAGTCACGGACAATGGAGCTGTCTCAGAGACATTTGCAGTGACTAACGGGGTGAAGCAGGGCTGTCGGCATCGCTCGGTAGTTGGACAATTCTCAACCTGTGCCGCGACAGTCAAAACCATGGGCGGACTCTAACCACTCCGACCTTCAGACCAGGTCACGAGTAGGTGGAGGGGAAGTCGGAAGACCGTAGAGAGGGTGCTGCCTTTTGTGGAGAATGAATGCAGAATATGCTAGAGCGGGTTGGTCGCCGGGGCAGAAGCGGAACTCCGGCGTTTGGGTGTCACTGGGGCAAGCGGCGGAGCGTCTTGAGCGATCGGTCTAGATAGCGGTGACTGGACAAAAATCAGACAGCCTCTCTGTTTCAGGGAGCGACCTGACGCGATGGGAGCGCAATACACGGCCTCAAAATGTCCGACGATCGACTGTCGATGATGCGTACGTATAAGCATGCGCCAAAAATGTTTTGTTGTGGCAGGTAGCCAGAGCATGGTCACTATAGTAGCACGTGGGACCTCTACCGAATGTGTTGGTGTTGACTAGAGTCCTCTGATTCCGACAATACCCTGTGCTGCGTGATTCAAAAAACGAGATCAAACTGAATTTCTTTAAAGATATTCGCGTGCAACGGATGTTTTGAAGCGTTTGTAGCAGTTCGCGTCTCCTCACCCTCCGCCTCTGTCATGCTGCCGTCCTGTCCGCCTCACACTCCGTGTCGATAAGCTGCTGGGACGCGCGAGTGCTCGAAGCCAATCAACGCTGTCCCCACTCTGATTGGCTGGCGACGTGGAGACAACGAAGGGCGCACACACGCGCTGACACAACACCCCGAAGGCGGACACAGACAACAGCTTGCTTGGAGCGCGCTCGCGGCGACTGCCCACAGAGCCCTTGTGTACGCACTTCCTCAGGCAGTAAAGGTTGTCCAACTCAAACCCTCTTCCCTGACTTTTGATTGGGGATCTTTATCTTGTCGACCACACGACTTTCGACACGTTCATTCTTAAGAGTCCAACCTTTCTAGCCGTGTACGTATACATTCTGGACTGGCATGCTTACTTGCAGGCATTGGAGGTGTGGCAATCCTGTTTCGTTCAGCCTACCTCCAAACAGGCAGCAAAATGGCGTGTACCTGCAGTCATAGTCACAGGCCCAAATAGGTGTCCTCTTATCCTCGCCCTCCTCACTGGGTCTACGTAGAATCTGCGTATTTTCATTTGGCAGTATATCCACGCCTGCGTGCGGTCAGTGCTTCCGCATGGGCAACACCTGAAGGCAGGATCTACCTCGATTTCTCTGGCTCTCAGCAAGGCCAGACGGCGAGTTCGGAGCATCTGTGACAGCTTCGCCTGCAGTCATCAACTCGGCTGTTTACTCATGTTGCCTTCGGTTCGCCCAGCCTCACCCCCTCCCCTCCCTGGTCAAGTGAATACTTGTGTCGTGCGTGATCTGGCCCCTAACAGCTCTCGCAATCACCGCTGGGGTGATTGCGAGAGCTGTTAATTACAGTGCGCATACGGTCCCACGGCAGCCACGTGCTGTAAATACTGCACTCCTTATGCCACCATCACCTTTATCTGCGAATGTCTCCGATGATGGATTCGAACGAAAGTCCGAAACGTCAGGCCAATAAATTCCTTGTTCCAGTGATCGCATCTTCGTCTTCTGAACTGGCACCTGGAACTCGCCTGTTCGCTTCTATCAGCAAGCTTGATGTCAATCAACGTCGTGTCATTTTCTGATTGGTCCCAGGCGGCGAAGGTTAGGCTACGTACGCGCCTCTCGCAAGTGTTAACACCAACATCACCAACGGCCGTCTCTACGCTCGGCTCGGTTGAAAAATCGCTGCCACTGCCTTCTCAGTCGTTTGTGCGCCCCGTTGTTGCAGTAAGGGTTGCCTCCCTGGATAATGATTTGGGAGCCTTCGCGTTGTCGACAGTCACGCTTCGACATACCATTCTACTGTAGGTCACAGGTCCGTTTATGCGTGGTCTCAAGGAGATGGTGGTGCCGGACAATGCGCTGGTAGAAGTAACTTAACTTAGGTCCTGGACTCAGAAATTGGCGAATTCCAGAAATCCAACTTACCGCACTGAGGTTTCTGAACTGCACCGGTGAAGCTGTTTTGGCTAGATCACAGTTGATAGCCAGGCCCCGTATTACAGGTGGCTGGGGCTCGTTTACTGGAGACTCTTTGGTGGGGCTACATAAGCCCATCTGACCCAATTGGCTTCCGTTTTACGTTACGTCGTAAACGTAACCGTAGTTCTTGGGCATAGCCCTAACGGTAAAACCTAACCGAAATACTGAAACCTAATCGTAAACCCAAACCCTAACCGTAACCCGAAAACCTAAGCCTAAAGGGTATAATCCTAACCCGAAAATCGGAAACCATTAACCTATACCCTAATCCTAACCTCGAACGTAAAACGGAAGCCAATTGGGATTATGTAGCCCCACAAAAGAGTCCCCAATAAACAAACCCCAGCCACCTGTAATACGGGCCCTGGCTACCACCTGTGATCTAGTCGCTGTTTTTCTTATTGTCCCATTGTAAAGAACAGGTGATCGGAGTTTTGTGAGAAGGGGCCACACAGGGCCATCCTTTCTCTCTCTCTCTCTCTCTCTCTCTCTCTCTCTCTCTCTCTCTATCTATCTATCTATCTATCTATTTATCTACCTATCTCTCTCGCCAGGTTTCATCCAGTGTCCGAACATCTGGCTTGAGCTAAGATGCCGTTCAGTAATATTCTTCATGCTTCTTCTGCCGCCGCTGTGCCCCTGGGGCTGTTTACACGCGTTTAATGCTGGTCTCATCCACCTAACCGGAATCTTCAAGTTTCAGGAACTAGTTTCTTTTCTGAATCCTCAAGTTTTTGCCTACGATATGCCTCGGCAACTGACTGCTCATCGCTGCATGACAATCTGGAAAATCCAATGCAAGGGGGGGATTACGCACTCACGTCCCCCAATCGGGATATAACGGCTAACGTCTACCTAATGTGGCTTTGCATATTCCGGATTTCAGCCGACGGCGGGCAGAGTCGACAGCTCAGACTGACAGTTAGCTGAGCTCAATTTCTTGGGTCTAAACTCCAGGCAGACAAGCATCTGGCGTTGAGGTATCACTGGCTAATAACGTCGAATAAACGAGAAATTGCCTCTTTAGCGTTCGCCATCTTTGTTGATGAGACTTTTCGGTGTGGCTCGGATGCACGAAATGCGCTCATCTGAAAGCTGACCGGTTACCAGGTTGTTCATAGAGCATATACTGAGGTCCTGTAAGTGGGAGCGGGTAGTCATTCAAGACGAAACGCGAATAATGCGGAAGTGGAACACGTGAAGGTCTATCCGAAGACCTGTTCCTCTTTTACCCCCCCATACGCCAGACTACTATTTTGTCCTGTCGACTACAGCCGACTTGTAGACCAAGCAGAATAATGCATTTGTGCGGAGGACGAAGCGCGGTCGACAGCTCGTCCGAGACGAGGCTCGAAACAGTCGCAGAGAGAATTAAGTGGAGAGTTGTGCAGCACCACCGTCAAAACTGAGGCACAAGACGATTGTAGTGGACATCCAAAAGACGATATGCGGTCGGATATGACTCACTAACTTGTTAGGTTTTTATGTCACCTTCAGTAGGTGGGCTAACTCCTGAAATGTCAACCGAAATTCTGAAATGCGTTTTCGTTTTAAATAGATTAATTAAGTAGGGTTTCAAAACTAACCATCATGCAGAATAATTCTATAATAATTCAGTTACGTCAGAATGCCGACTTTGGAAAGATCTTCCTTCTGGCTGCATGCAAAAAAGTACACTCTGTAAAAAATGACTACTTAAATAGCGTGAATTTTTCTCATTGATTCCCTATGCCCCTAAAAGTCAAATTATATTTCATGAAAATCTGCATAAAAATCTTCATTCTTTTGCTCATTCGGCAGATAATTACGTCTTCTTCTAATCTTATACTTAAAGGAAGCGTATAATTCAGTTTTCAAAAACTTTTCCAATTACCGAATAATTTTGAACCCGCTCTACCGTTAAACTTGCATTCAGGGTTTCGAAACTACAAGCCGTATATTTTCCGCGTAGGGAAAACCACACATTTCTCTACGGCATTAGGGGGGAACCATATGAGGTTCATAAAATTTGGCATTGGATTTGATCTATATTGTTAACTTTACAAGCCACATGGGTAAATGCAGAGACATGACGTTTTATGAACGGCCATTTCATCGTATTTAACAGTCCCACAACTGTTAACGATGTGGGACCGAATTATAACCCTCCATCGAGTATAAAATTAGAAGAAGACGTAATTTTCTGCCAAATGAGCGAGAGAATGTATGTTTCTATGCATGATTTCCATGAAATATAATTGGAATTTTAAGGGCATCGAAAATCAATGAGAAAATCCATGTTACTTAAATAGCCATTTTTTTACAGAGTCTGGTCCTTGCATGCCGCCGGAAGGAAGTTCTTTCGAAAGCCGGCATCCTGAGTTAACTGAAATATTATAGAATTATGTTGCAGACTGACTAGTTTTTCAACCCTACTTAATTAATCTTTTCAAAACGAAAACGCATTTCGGAATTTCTGTTGACATTTCATGAGTTAGCCCGCCTACTGTAAATGAATCGAGTGCGTGGGAGACATCATGACAAAGGCATTTCACTTGTTGGGCCCCAACGAGTCTCCGTGCGAAGAGGGTCGGCGGCGGAACCATGTGAGAGGGAAACTCCGTTGTCTGAGAACATATGAGGCCAGCGTAACGAGGACGTAGCGGTCTAGAAAGTTTAATCGACCACATAACTAATAACGATAAATCTCGCCCCGTTAAATGGCAGGGCAACGGCAGGACGAGGGACCCCAATTAGCTGTCGGTAGACTGTGAATCTGGCATACGGGATTGGTGGGGATGGGGGGGGGGGGTTAAAAGTGGGCCGGCACACGGAACAGTAAGCCGATGGAAAACAGGAAAAAA